CGGTGTTCCGCAAACTTTCTTCACCCACGGCACAACCGAATTTGTAAAAGATACATGACGACGCTCCACAAAAGCGGATACGAAACTACGCATGTTCACAAATATGTATCCTTGCCCTACAATAAAGCAGGCATATGAAGAAAATATAACACATGTCGAAGAAAACTATCGATGATGAACCACGAAAGAAAAACCACTGCCCTTTTTCAATACACAATTTATTATAAAAATTTCCCGGCACACCCGAAACCCTGTGGCAGAACACTACACTATATCAAGAACCAAGCTTGCCTTAAGTTAAAAGTGGCAGTGAGCTATCGAATGAACCTTTATCAATCTTCAGGTATCGATTCAGTTCCGACGGAACTGCACACCTAGCAGGTGGTCGGTTACTCGCACACATACACAAATAAACAGTTGTGGCTGCCCGCTGTGTTTGTAAAAACATTTCAGTGTTATGTAAGTTATTGTAGACGTACTGCATGACAGCATTCAAAATTTTACATTACTTTGAATTCAGTTTGTTCTTAAACTTTTTTCTCGTATATTTTAACTGAAAACACGTGGCTTCTACGTTTGTAAATATCCCTCCTCCCTCTCTCTCTATGGTGTGGGACATTCTTTGAAAAGTCGATTGTTACTCGGCCTGTCAAAGAATAACCCACCAGACTCTACCCTCAGCCAGCTGCATCCATCGCTTCCTGTATCCCTAACGTCATCCTCCCACCCACGCCTAGGTCTTTCCAGCGAACTCCTCCATTCAGGCCTCCCAACCAATACCTCGTAAACACCCATCCCCTCCATCATGCGTGCTACATGTCCCGTCCACCTCATCCTCCTCGATTTAATCACTAAAATGAAACAAAAGCTGCCCCGCTATACGCCATGTAGGCGTTTGGGGTGAGTGGAGGTACAGCTCCTCTCTTCCTTGACCCCGGCACTAGATGGGGGTGAGTGGTCAGCATCACGCCCCGGCCGCGCTTAACTCCCGGGAAAGGATCCCGGTACATCGATTTAATCACCCTAACAATATCAGGTGAGGAGTTCTACGTTTGTGAACAAACATTTAAAACCAACAAACGTCATGGTGCATAATAGGATCCTGAAGGATTAATTTTTGTACGGCCATAACATATCTTAATCACAAAGCAATATTTGTTTATAGTTTATTTAAAGACGCTTATTCAGCAGCTCGGACTGCATTGCGTCGACACAGGATAACGTATCCCCAAATATGGACAGTATTAATATTAAACGTCATTGTTGAAGGCAGAGGACATGGTGGCACATCGGAACTGAAAGACGCGGGTACTCTTGTAATCTATTTTTGTAATTGTGCACTCACTACAACAGATCAAGGGAAGCAAAAACTATTTCATAGACTTACAGCATTTGTCAGTGTAATTTATGAAGACTATCCTGTTATGTTATAATAGTGACACCTAGAAATTTATAAAGGTTTGGAAATTTAAATTTGACTGGAAAGACCAAAAACGTTTTTGCAATTTTGTGGGGTAAACAGCCACCAGGAAGACCGAGAGAGAGAGGAGGTCAGCATTCAGATAGATATTAAGGAAATGGATCTTTAAATTTATAAAATTGGCAGCCGGGGATCGTGAGGAAGGTATTATTAAAATACAAATTATGGATATACTGTAATAAAGAGGATCACGTTGAACTCCACAATTATCGGATCAAGTGTCAGGGATTATAAAACATTATATAAGAAACAGGCCTAAGGAATGATAAACTGAGTGTTGCGGCCGAGAGGTTGTCCCTCTTGCTTCGAAGGTACTGGATTTAAAAGTCGATCCTGATCCTCGGTCCTTCCAGACAAATAGCCAACACCCGCTTCCTACCACATACTGCCCAATTCATTATCTATCAGCAGTCTTATCATTCGACGTTGTACACTCTGAGCTACCAACAACATCGTTAAATAAACCATAAACAATAATAAATAAGTCGTCTTGACACACGCACAAAGCACCTCCTGATGTTGTGTTATAAGTTCTGTTCTCCTCTTAACTCAGATTGGTCTGATCCACACAAGAGGTAGCAGGGTTGCTGCCCCCCCGGTGAAGCCATCTTTCTGTATTATGGGATGGGAGTGAGGTTTCTACTGCGTGAGTCCTTTTCCTGCCACTTTATCGGACATCGGGGTCAGAATGACCCCTCCCTGACCCGTTCACCGATTTTACTCCAATCATTCCCCTTGATAGTAAAGATTCGTCTGGTAGGTATAAGCATCTTGCGCCAAAAGTGATCCCCACACTCATATTTGCGCTCCCTGTGCACGGTTCTTATCGTCCACAGAAACTGAATAACGTTTTGGCGCACAAGTGTCGTTTTATTCTCTCTTAACATTCAGCCAGTTTATGTTTGCTTAATACTGCTACTTGTAATGAAAATGTTCACACATATACATACACTATACGCAACTAATATACCGTACAATTGTTTATTTACAAATTATTTCTCTGCCCTATACTGGATTTAGCGTTCTATTAGAAATTTCATTAGAAAGTCAGCTACCGCTGGAAATGTTATTAAAATCAGTTTGGTTCCTTTGGATACAAAACATCTGACGGCAAAGGCATTTATGATGAGTAATTTGGTAAAAATGGCGTCAGTTGAACGCAGAAACTTCTCAGTATAACCCACTTAAATTTAAATAAACGTGTAAAAGTTAACAAATAATTCATAAACATGTTTAATGCAACAATAGTTATTTACCGCATCTAAAAACTATTCAATGACATTTAAACAACTTCTAAGTACGAAGCGTTTATGTTAACCGTATTATCCCGGCTAACACTTAAAGAAAATCCAAAATTCAAAAGCCCTATGTCTTACTTTCGTTGTTCAGGGATACTTAATACACTGAAACACAACATAACCGATCGGATAAAATGTTATTCCAAGGAGTTGGTATAAAACTGAAGAAATCTGTTTCGACAACTTACAAAACGCGCGCTCACACACATAAACCCACAAATATAAGTTCATATTAACTGTGACAACATTGTCTTAGGTGAGATTTCAGGTCGATCCTGTGCCTTGTGGTTGGGTAAAAACTGATCAACGTTTCAGAGATTCTTTCTGCCTCCATCGTCAGGGCGATGGAAACATCTCAGAAGACAGCCAGCCATCTTCAGTATTATCTTAAGTTACAAAAACAGTAGAAATGAATTAAAAGTGAGCAGATGAACACGATATGACAGAAAATGGGGATAATTACGATCCAAAGAAGACGAAGTAGAAGAACAAGGACGTACAGAGTCACAGTAAAAGCAGCTAATGCAATAATTTGTAATCGTCTAGTTATGAGGTCGAGCTCGAACTATGACCACCCATCAAAGATGAAGTAATGTTTCCGTTTAATGTCTGTACATCCACACCCGCCCATTGCCGCGAAGAGTCAGCGGAACATAGACCTATATACTGGATTTATGCAAAGCAGGCATAAGTGACCTTGCGTCACCACGCGATGTAAACTATCACAGTTGGCCTCGGGTATTGAACCGACCGATCAAAGAAAAGTTATTCTGACTTGAATTTAAACTATTCCATCATCACAACATAGCGGGAAGTCGAACAAATTATGTTACTATATTCAGATTTTGGAATGAGTGGGAGAAATTCAAATTTGAGAGGAAAACTTCTTTAACAGAAGTCAGTCAGTTGTCAGTTGTTGCAAGTTGAAACGGTATCACGGACGCATCGGTTTATTACATTAACTTTGACCAATATCGCGCGGAGAATTTAATTCAGCAATCACCTAAAATAAATACCTAAAGCCACAGCTAAGGAGATCTTTAATTAGACCCCGTAAACCCAGAATATGAGTCTCATGTCTCGTTTTACCCAAGAGCAGAAGAAGAGACGGTTATAAATCGTCGTTGACCCAACTCCGCCCAAGAGAATAGGAGAAAACGGTTACAGATTCTTAGGCAACAAACGTAGAGATGCATGCTTCATATTTAACACGTTGACTCTGAGGTGATTTTTGCAAGGCATTAATTTTGTACCTTGACCGACCGGTGACACAAGCTCCACATGGTAAAAAAAAGGTCTTACTGCTGCATGAACCGTGTGACATTCCAGTGGCCCTCACAAACCTCATCAATCTTTCATATTCTAGCTGTAGTGTTAAAAGTGAAGAGACTGAGTCTCCAACAAACGATAGCCCTCGGTCCTGCGACTCTTCGGTGGTTCTCACGGCGCTGAAATACTTACTCTCGTGATTCACCGGTGACCATAACTAGATCGGACGTTTTAAGAGATGATGGTTTTGGATCTGTCTGAAGAACGACTACCCTGCCTTTCCTCAGTCTCTCCAGATAAATGCCGGAGAGGTACATGAAGTAGCCTATTAAATTAGCTAAAAATTATCGTAAATTAAC